CCCCAATTTGATTTCCCCCACAATTGCCTTGTACGCTTGATATGTTGACGGATGCGATGATGATTTAATATTTTTTTACAGAGACCAACGGACGAAGCGAGATGACTTCGTATTTTATTCGAAGAGACTTATGAGAATTGTCATCGAATACGCGCTTTCGTTTTTACCGTTCGAGGTGAAACACTTTCCAATTGTTTTTGATTAAATGCTGCGCGACATATGCAGTGCCTTTTTATTAAGTTTTAAGTTAATTCAAAGGAATCTTTATTCCATTCCAGGACTATGAGCTTACGACGAAAGGTTCTACGTATCACGGCAAGAGATTTACAGGGGAAGGGGTGAGTGTAGAGTGCATGCTTTTGAGTTTATTAAGAGGCAATTTTTTTCAATGTCACGTATTTGCAATGAAAAGTGTTCAAAACCTAAAATCTTTTTGGCGTTCCTCTCAAAATTACTTTGTTTTAGCTCTCTAGTTTATAGAGTTAGCAACCTTTTTAAATGCATGCTTGATGCCCGCGAGGAATGCTGGTCTTAGTAGTCATCGTCCAGGAAAATTAAACAATTCAAAATGGCCACTATCGAAATTTTCCTGGGCGATGACTTCTAAGACCAGCATTCCACGCGGGCATCAAGCCTTGTGACGTCATTATGCATAAGGTCTATTATTTTAAGACCTCGAGTAGAGGTCCCACAAAGGATTGAACCCGGGTCTCATTGACACGACACCACAAGAGCTGTGCTTATTTTTATCCTACGAGTATTAGTTTCACACGACTCCAGTAGTTCTAATGATATTCAAATGTAATTGTATTCCTAGATTTGTGGTGTGTCTATATTAAGAGCGGGCGAGACAATGGAGCCAGCATTGGAGTCAGTGTGCAAGGATGTTCGCATTGGTAAAATTTTGATTCAAACTAATGAAGATACAGATGAACCAGAGGTAGGATATCTCGTGAAAAACGAAACGTACTAAAATCAATCTCGGATACCTGGAACGTCACAAAAAAATGTGCTACTGTGACAGAATAGCTTCTTTGTTTAACACTTAGTCCAGTCAGAGGCCGTGGAAGCATTTCGAAAGTGGAGGGGCATTGGCAAAAGGGGCACTTTTGTATATGACCAAAATCAAACGATTTTATGTCGTTCACGAGCCGAACGAATTTTTGAAAATATGGAGTCTCTATAACGTCGGAAATGGCCTTTACAAAGTCTTAACTACTGCAAAAATGGCACTTTCTTTCCAGCAAAAGAGGGCGTTTATTCAAGAAATACTTTTTTCGTTCTTCAAATGGGGCACTTTAGCCCGAAAAAGGGGCATTTTTTTCACTTTTAAAAAAGTGTGGAAGAGGGGCACTTGCCCCATTGCCCCCGGTTCCGCGGCCCCTGAGTCCAGTCACGATTCAGTAACCGTAACATTCTTTCATTGTCTTTTCGTTGTTTTGGAAATCCCACTGTTTTCATGTTATCCAGTCGTTCATTGTTTTGTCATTTTTGCGACGTTCTGTAAACGTTCTGTTGAGAAAACTTTAACCTCGTTTTCAGCTGCACTTCCTTCGACTACCACGTGACATACAAAAAGACCACGTGATCTTACTGGACGCAACGCTGGCCAGTGGTGCTGCAGGTACGGTTGTTTTGACATCAATTAATGAACATTTAAAAAATGTGGTGATTACGAGGTTATCTAATGTTTATGTAATCTATCTATCGTGCATTGTTCTTGTATTTCTGTTTATTTTTCAGCTTTGATGGCTATTCGAATTCTCTTGGTAAGTTGAAGTTCAGGTCTCAGCTTTTGATTCAGGATCCGTTCCCTTGAGAGCTAGCTAGTGGACACTTAAGGACATGCATTGACAGAACTATTTTTCAGGACCACTACGTTAAAGAAGAAAACATATTATTTGTGTCTTTAATCGCAGCTGAAACAGGTGGGATTTTAACATTAAAATTAATAATTAATTGCCGTTTAGCTGTTGTGGTGTCCCAGCTTCTTTAATGCAATTATTGTATGATGTTTGGAAGCGAAGCACGATAAATAATGGCTAGGTCTTAGCACAGCACAGAGAAAGAAGAGAAAATGGGATTAGATACAAGAGGAAATGGGGTTAGATACACTTGAATTCGCCTAGTAATGCCACCTGCCTGTTTGTCCATATGATAGAAATTTACCAATGATGAACTGAACAGTTTTTCCATGGTTCCTTCTTCAGGTGTTCATTCTGTCGCGTACGCTTTTCCTAATGTAAGAATTGTAACTGGTGCTGTAGATGCTGAACTGAATGAATCCTTTCATATTCTTCCGGGTATTGGTAAGTTCATCAGTCAACTACAATCGTACACAGTGTTATTAGAGTACAATACTTTGCAACTCGGTAAGAGCACAATATTTTTTTGAAATTCTGTTCTTTTACATTTAGGTAATTTTGGTGACCGTTATTTTGGTACAGATTCGACGTAACATATCGGAAAATATTTGAATGCTTTGTATAGTTGGGGGTGTTGTGGGGTGTGGGAGGGGGCAGTACCCCTTAAATTGTAAATCCTGTGATGTACACACTTAAGACTGAAGTCCAAAACAGGTTTTGGGCATGTATGATCCACTATAGTAGAGAAGTTCAGATTTGACTTTCCACTATCATTAATGGATTATTAACCAATATACATTCGTATACACATGATGTAGACACATTTACATAGGGTTATATTTCGCGTACAGGACACACGTAGAAATCTCACAACTTGTTCAACAAGATGTGTTCGCAACAGGCTTGTAGCAAGCTTGTCAACAAGTTGTAACAATGTTGTTATTTTATCAAGTTGCTACAAGGTTGTCACTCACAACTTGTTGACAAATTGTTGAATTGCAGGACGATGACAAGTTGTTGGAACAACTCGTAACAAGTCTGCTGAGCTCAACAACCTTGTAGCAAGTTGTCAACAAGCCGTTGACAACTTGTTAACAAGCTGGGAACAAGCAGTGCGAACACATCCTGTTAACAAGTTGTTGGAACAGCATTGCTACAAATCTGCTGCAAGTTTGTTGTAACAAACTTGTGCGTTTTTACGTGTGCAGGGTTTTAAACGAAGGGACTGGAACTAGGGAAATATATACGTAAGAAACAAAACTCGTAATCGAGGCGGATGGGGTGTCAAAATTTTTGTAATTTCTACGAACCTCCTATTGTTAGACTGACGTCAATTCTGTTGTACTTTGAGTACACGGGGAGGGATGGGGTACAATTTTCCAAAGTTTTTGCATACGTACAACATCAATGACTCCTTCAGTCATTTCATAGTTTGAATAAACAACATAGGTCCAGAAATCAGACTGAGCGAATTAGCCAAATATGTGGGCCCCACATTTTTGGGTGCTGCCTTCCCTCGTAAAATAATCTAGACTATTAAAATAATACGAAAGGCGATTTTTCAAAGTTGTTACTGTAAATTTTCCATCTACAATCATGTAGAAGTTGCTTACATTCGGTGCTTACATTCTCTGGTTTGGGAGAGGCGCCAGGCAGTGCCCCAAAAATGGCGGAGCATGAGAAAGGCTAATTTGGATCCGACTTGAGACAAAAATTCTTGTTTTTCTCAGCGGTGTCAGTATAGAAGTATTAAATATAAGATACGTTTTGACAACATTTCGTGTGTGCTTATCTTTTTGTTCAGTTTTTTTGCTTCATCAGTTGCACTTTAAAATCAGCAACCTGGATTTATAGGATTGGGATTAGGCCTGGGTTAGGGGCGGACCATTAGAAAAGTGATGGGGGGTCCTAATGGTCCGCCCCTCAGGCTATTGGAGATCAAATTCAATCGGAACGTTTTCGGGAATAGGCGGTCCATGTTCGGAGTAGATGCAGCCAATGAGAGCGCTGCTATTGTCCACTATGTCGCATATTCAGTTCGCTTTGATCTTTTGATCTTTCTTGTTGGAAAGGAACACATTGCAGTAAATTTTATATTTTTTCTATAAACATGGATCCAGCTCAATATCTTGACGTTTTAGTCGCGGAGAAAGACAGTTTAGACCCTTCTTATCATCCAAACGCTGTTCGTCTGTTAACGGAAGGTAAGAAAGCTCCGTATTTTGGCATTTTTCAAAGCGAAGTTTGCCATTGTTTCAACAAAAGCATGCCTCATGTGCTTCGTCAAGTTTTGAAAATATCTGTTTCGTTTTTGTAGTTAACTTGACAGTATGTTGTATATTTTACAAGTTAAATACGTTAGTTGGTATAGTTTAAGTATTTGAACGTATGTAAGTCAATATTTTGCCAATAAATAAGCGGGGAAAATGGGTGATTTCAATATGACCCGCTTGCTTTGAGCTGATACGAAATAAATAATTAAGCTCAAATGCTCAATTAGTATAAATACAGATGATACCAGTAAATATATATAATCTAGAATAGAGTCTGATTGATCCAGATATTTGCTAGAAAAGGTCAGCTATTAAAATGATCAGCTATAGGTGATGTGCAATCACTCCCATGGCATGCAAAGGACAAAGAGATTTTTGCCATGTTGGATGAAATTTGTATTGGCATGACGACGGTGACGTTATTTGCACCACAGAATAAAGCACACAGAAGGTTGACTCGAGTAACCGCTGCCACGCCATGGTCACAGAATTGGAAGGTATAGCAGAAGCATAACTCAAGCAAGTATTTGTCCGCGTTTTTACAAGCAGTTCGTCATCAATCACGCCATCCTGGCTAGTACAACCGGCACTTTGTACCTACCAAAACCTGATAAAAACTTCCGGTTGTACTAGCCAGGATGACGTGGATTGGCATGAGCGAGTTAAAATTTTCGTGGACGTAAAACAAGGGAACCGACTCGAGTTACACTTCTGTTATACCTTCTTATAATCTTGTGCGATGGTTCTAGCCAGTGTGTGCAGTGGCGAAAATTCACTTTTTCCGGTGGGCGGGCAAATCGTCCTAAATTTCCGACAAAACTTTCAAATTTCCGACATACCCCCCATTTGCACTCGAAAAGACTGTTTTTAGCCCTCTTTTAGATCAAAATTTCTGAAAATTTGTCAATTTTCCGGAAGGTGGGGGGCGGCCACCCCACCAAGATCACCAAGATTTGAATACTATTATGGGGGTGAATGCCTCTCAAACACACACTGGCTAGGACCATGGCATCAGCATTTGATGATGAATTATGGGTTACGCCAAAATTATAGGAAAATCATAGGAAAAACCAAGAAGTCGGCCTTCTGTGTACCCTATTACCCTTAGTACACCTATCTTTTGTCTGGACAAAATGTCTGACCATGAATTTTCCTTGGAAAACTGTCATTTGGTCAGAAGATGTCCGACTGTTATTTCAGACTCTGAAAATAATAGTAGGTAAAGTAGATTATAGTGGTAGAATCAACAAAAGTAGCATTGGGTTGTTTTAGAAACGATCCACTGTTTTAATAATAATAAGTGTATTGGGACATCTGGAGGGGTAGGGGGTTAGAGCTGTGTGCCGGAGCTCCGGCATAGTTTGCCGGAGTTGGAAAACTCTGGCAAACAAAAATTATGAAAAAAATATTTCAATGAACTTTTGATAATGGAAAAATTAAGTTGAATGATTTGAAGTTACTATAAAGTTTAATTACTTGCTCCGATCCGATTCTTGGCTTAGAAAATTCTGCAAGCGCATTGCTATTGCTTTTGATACAAAAATCCGCTGACCGCGATGTATTTGGGCAAACATACCATGCTGCCACACGGTTTTACTTTCTAGAAAACATACAAGCACTGAAGCATGTATATTTGTATATTTCTACAAGCACCGAAGCACATATATTTGATAAGTAAGGAGAAAACTGAAAAAGGAATAAAATAAATTCTGAAACCCTGTTGTCCCAGAATGTGGACAGTGTTTCCATTTTTTCAAATTAAAATTTTGTTCAAATTCCATAGAGAGAAGTTGATTTTTCTTCTTTTCTTCATTAAAACCTTGTTCTATAATGTTCTAGAAATGAAAAGAGTTGAATCAGGTGAAGAGGCCAATAATGAAGGAATGGACCGTTACAACAACAACACACTAGAAACAAAGGGAGTTGGCGATCCTCGCGAACGCAAACCAAACTACATGCGACAGTATCAACGTGAAGTTGAACCTTGTACTAAACTGTCTGAAAAAGTTATGATACCTATCAAAAAATATCCTAAGGTATTTGTTATTTGACTCAATTAATAGTTGAAATTCCCCTCGTGGCGAGCAAATTGATTGGCGTTGCATCGGGAATTGATGTTGCATTGTAGTTTCACAAAAGTGGTGTATATATGCAACAGTAATTATGCTGTTTACTTTTTTAGTTCAATTTTGTCGGCAGACTGTTGGGACCAAAGGGACACACATTCAAACGCCTTCAAAATATAACAGGCTGCAAAATGTCAATTTTGGGCAAAGGGTCAATGCGGGACAGAGAAAAGGTATATTGGCCTGTCTATGATCACACACTTATGTGAACTGTATATAATTTATCACACTCAAAATAGGATTCATAGTGATTCTATTGAGTTTCCTAAGGCCAAAAAAAATATGTGGGTTTCCTATTTCTTCTTATAAAAACTTAGGTAGAGTAGGTCGGTTTTAACTTTTTTTTTAAACTTTTTTTTTAATTTTCCTAACAACCGGACGCCATTTGTTTAGTCAATGCTACCATATCCAAACATAAATCTCCCTCATATTGCCTCAAACTTCAATTTCCACAAACGTTTTCCTATAAGTGGAAACACTTACAAGCATGATGCAATAAAAAAGTTTAGGGTCGGGATTTCAACGTCCAAAAGCTAGGTAGGGTTGGGAAACCGGAAACCCACATCTTTTTTTTTGCCTAATCTTGTTTATTCTGATTTGCAGGAACAGGAACTTTTTAATTCAGATGAGGAGAAATATGCACATCTTAAAGACGACCTCCATGTCTTAATTGAAGTGGAAGCACCGAAAGCCGAGGCACATGGTCGTTTGGCAGCTGGTATTGCTGAAGTTCAGAAATTCCTTGTACCTGTACGTGATTACAAAATATCAAAATTTTAATTTGAATCATTTAGAAATATAATGGGTCATTCCAAAAAAAACATACATCCACACCTCCCCCATGGAGGAAATTTGTAGTTAACCCCATCAGGCACAGATTTGCACACCCCCCCCAGATGCATTTGGCACCGCCCCAAAAGTTTATCCACCCCCGCAAATTATATATATTTTGATTTGATAGTTTCGTATTTGATTATTCTTACTACTAAATTTGTAAAATTACCAATATTATGGTCTCAGATCTTGCCATGCAGGCCTAGAAAACAAATTTTGTTAAACTTTTTCCTTGGCCTTTCCGGGCGTTGCCACCAGGCCCCGGCCAAAGCAAGCAGCAGCAGCACCCCCAGATATTTATCTACACACCCCCCAAACAAAAATATGAAATCCCATTCAGATCTTCTATAGCCTTCAGAAGCCAAATTATCCAAGGATATTGGGTGCAACTGAGCTCTTTTTTATTTCCTTTAAATCCTTCAAACAGCTTCAAAAATTATTTTAGTCATTGTACCTAAGCCCAGCTCCTCTGCCGAGATTCTGCCAAGGCTACAGTAGTTAAGTCACAGAAAAACGTATTAATTAAATTTCTACAAGAATTGAAGTTGGCCAGCTGGGTAACTTGTTGGTATATCGATATTTTTAAAAACATTTGGTATGATGTGTGTTGGGACATTGCATTGTAGGATCCTAATGACCCAATTCGTCATGAGCAGATGCGTGAGTTGGCATATCTGAATGGTTTAGACGACGGTACGCCCACAATTGGTGGGCCGGTTCCCTCAATTGGTGCTCAAGTTTCAACAGTGATTGCCACCCCAGTGGTACGTGGTCGGGGCAGGGGACGAGGCGTTTCTGTTCGAGGTGCACATGTTGTGAGGTCATCGATGAGTCATGGTATTCCAAGATCAGCGGTTGTAGCAACAGTTAGTACACCACGACATGCAAGTACTGCACCAGAGACTTATGTAAGTATCTACTTAGAGTTGTGCGCCAGAGCCGGAGCTCTGGCATATTTTGCCGGAGTTGGAAAACTCCGGCACACAAAATTATGAAAAATTATTTAATATTTCAATGAACTTTTGGTAGTGGAAAAATTAAGTTGAATGATTTGAAGTTACTATAAAGTTTAATCACTTGCCCCAATGTATTTTGGGCGAAAATACCACGCTGCCATGCGGTTTTACTTTCTACAAAACATTGTTTAAACAAGCACCGAAGCGCATATATTTGATAAGTAAAGGAGAAAGCTCAAAAAGGAATAAAATAAATTAAATTTTCCTAGCAATCAATAGCCTCAATTCTATTTTCTATAGGCATATGAAACACATGATGGAAGTTATGAATATGAGCAAAGCTATCCTGAAGGGTAATATCACTGATAAAATAAAATACTACCACAAAATGCAGTTATATTGTACTATTTTGTATCATCAAACAGTTGTCATTATTCTCACTCCTCAGAGCTTTGACAATTATTTTAAGGAAGTGGCTGTGTTGATAAAGTATATGGCTGTGGGGAGAAGGGGGCAGTCTAACCAGTCTTGGGTTTCTTACAGTAAAGTCGTCCTTGAAATTAACTAGTGGATATTGATTAGATGGCAACACAACTAAGCTCAGTAACCATGTTATAATGTATCACTACTTTCATTCTTCAACAAGATAACTCCAAGACTTAAGATGGCAATATATGTCGTTTTCGAAAAGAACCAGGCTATAAAGTAGACCAGGTTGAGGAAAAATCGCTTTGTTTGAAAGCTTCTCGTTCCCACGAGAACAGACTGAATTGATATTTCAAGTACCCACAGTGATTGAACCTTGTGTTCCGGCAACTGCCTGCTTATTTTGAAAGGTCTGTTAACAATTCTTACATCTTTTTAGGGACTTGGTTTACTACACCGACTATGCTGCCCCAGAACCAAGTTATGCACGTAAGTAATCCATTCTCAATCCGTACTTTTCTGACGTTATATAACGTTGCCTTGTTTTCTTGCATGTACCTATTACTGTGTATTTCTCAAATCCCACAGCAAGTCCAGGAACCATGCGATTAAAGGCGCCATTGAGATCGATGAAGTCTTCGGCTCGGGAGTCCACCTACCCATACTGAACCACGGCAAGCATATTTTTTGTATTCAAATAAAGGTAAGTCCATACTCTGAATATAGATATGAACATGAGCAGTTGATAATGTCAAAATAAAAAGGAAATATTCCCGCAACAACTCCATCATTGTTGGGTGCTTTTAATAATGATTAATACTATGCAGCGAATGGTGTTTACAGTCCGTTATCAGATTAGGTGTAGATGCTTTAGGTAGGTGTGTATTTGGTGGTAAATTAAGAAACAACTTCAAACAAGATAGGAGAGATTAAAATCCTACCTGTGTCATGCACTTTTTCTGAAATACACCACCTTGTGCATTTATTTCAGTGAAACCACAAAAAAATTCTAAGAAATTTATTATAATGCATAGATTAAAATGGAATTGTGTATTATTTGTGACTATGCACATATTGCAAAATAACTTTAAGAATTAAGTATGAGCCATTTAAAATTATATTAAATCCCAACAAACGAAGTGGATAGACAAAACTTAAACCCTTGTACTTTGTTAACCTCGTTTAATATATAAATGGCTAAAAATTCCGATGTTTAACCTTTTGATTTTCCGATTATTTTTTATTAAAGATTTAAACAGCGGGAACAGTCAAGTTAGTGAATCACTGAATAGTGTGATTAAAGAACTTTAAATCCTATTTTTTAATACAGTCCTGTTTTCTTTATGTTTAAACAATGTAAACTAAATGTCTCTCTTTTCCGCAGAGGCTTACATGAAGTTTCTAGTGAGGGAAAGTGAGCGCGCAAGGAGTGATGAGAAGAAATCTTCCCATCACACCGCGCGCGCTCACTTTTATTCACGAAACTTCATGTAAGTTATTTGTAAATACTTAAGGAGGCTCTGCGGAGGAGAGAGAACTAAATGTTATCATCTACTATTAAATGTTATTGCAGTAATAATACTATATAAAACAGATATACTGTCTGAGATAAATTGATTGAGTAAAGAAAAGAATTAAATCGCATACTGTGACTTCTTATAAAACTATATAAACACGAGAATGCAACTTGTTAAAATGTTAACACTATATAATTTAGTTAATATTAAAAATATAAAAAAATAAACTGTTAAATATGTTGTAATCTCATTAATAAACTTTCAGCTTTGAAGAATATTGTTTTCTAAATCTTTAACCGTGTGTTAATTGTTAAATATAGTAAATTCTGCGAAATTGAAATAATAAATAAGGTAAGATATAATTATACTATAATTATAAATATTAAATGCTATTTTGAATCCTTTATCCTGTTCTATATACAGTAGTTGTAAAAGCCATTGCACCTTAACTATAATGTTGTACTATGATTCTAATTCATTGTATTTTCGGAAATATATTAATCCACATATTTCACGGTATAAAATTATTTTAATTGTTAACCCTTCTGCAACTGAATATTCTTGTGTAAATTTAAAGTGAAAATGCGGGTTATATTTCAAAATATACGAGTAACCATTAACCTTTCAGTAAGTATTTATATTTTTATTTTTAAAGCTTTTCTCCGTGTTATCTAATTATGAAGTTCGTGGCTGAATCATGACATAAAATTAAAATGTTTTAGACATATATAGTATTTTTGTACTAAATTAGTTTTCTAAGACAACATGTAATTGTAATCGAATTGTGTAAGTGAAATTCACACTTTTAACCTTCACTAATGAACCAAAGTAATTCTGTTAATGAACTAACTTGTTATTACTAATCATCGTGTTTGTGAACAGACGTATACTTTTGTAGAAGTATTCTAAGATTTCTAAATTTTGTAAACATTATGTGGTACAAAGGTAACTTTTTTAACTGTTATATTAAACTATTTCCTTATAAAAATGTATTGTATTGACTATTGTCTCTTGGTTTAAATCGTATGTTTTTGTAATTTTAAAAAGCACTTTTTAACTCATATTTTGTACGAATGAAAAAAAAACTTTTTCATGAAACTCTAAAATATATATTTTTGTACAAAGTTGATAAAATACAAAGTTTTCGTACTCCAAATATTGTTATGAAAAGAATAACTTATTTTTAAAATTTATATTAATGATAAAAATGTTAAAATTTTACGTTTTTATTAAATCCTCGACTTGAGTTAAATATTCTGCATTGCATTGAAATATTTTCAATATTAGGAGTTATCATTGATTTGTATTTTATTGATACAGATTTTCATAATTATGCTCAAGAAAAGTCCATGGTTTTCCCTACAAAGATAGATTTTAACTTGTTTACCTTTGGTTTCATTTTCCCCACTTCAAACTTCTTTTCCAGTCCTGTCCAAACCCATTTTAATGTTTTCGTCTTTTACCATTGATATGCCTCATTTCTTTTACACAATGATTATTTATTAAATTTATTTCCTTAAGCTTTCCTGAGTATGATTGGTTTTAAAATACTTTTCTCAGAAAATTTTATTAAGGAGTTTTTGAAAAATATTTAATCCCTATAATCGTATGTCCTTGTTTTCTAATTCAGTTAAACGGTTTCTTTTCGTGATTTATGTAGAAGAAAGCTTTTTATAAAACAAAAATGTGGATAGTTGGATTAGGTTTGAGTTGAAGCATCATCAATTCTTTTTTAAAAGATAAACCTGTTAAAATACGAGATTCAACTAAATTTGATATTGTGTAAAGTAAGATATGGCGAAACTTCTGGATAATGCTAAATTCTGGATATAAAGTTTTTAAACTCACTCCGAGTTGCCGCGCCTTTGGCATTTTAAACGTGTTTTAATTGAACAAGAAGATTTAATCTGCTCGAAGCTTCATAATATGTAAGTATATATACTTATATGATTTTAATAAACCTATTATTAGTTGTTTTTAATACAATATTAGATTGATTAAACAAGTTCCTATAAAAATGTAAATTTGTTCTGTTGAAAAAAATGTTGAACGAATATTTTGTACAGTGTGTTCTACAAACGATAAACTAAAGCTATTATAATTTACATAAAATATTTTATCAGGCGATATGGAAAAAAGGTGATCAGGAATTTGTCTAATTTAAAAAAAACTTTACATTAATAGTCTAATTATTCGTAACGTCTTAATAATCTATGTTAACACCAAAACACTGTTAGCTTGATGTTCGGAATGCTGCAATTTCCAAGATTTCTGTGTTGTTCATTTAAAGAATTGATACAACGTGTTGCTACATTCCTTGAAGTGGAGAAGCTGGATGTCATCCGTTCCCGGCTTGTCACCTTAGGTACGTATGAGGCCCCTTCAATGCCAGATTGTACGTATACTCATAACTCAAAAAATGAAATTACCATAGACATAAAGAGTAATCCGCTTTTGAATGTCCCGTAACTTCGCGCACCTATTTCCGCCGTAAAATTGATCCGCATTCCGCTAGTTTATGCGCGACCCGCGTTCGCTAATTGCCACTTTATTGCCTAGCAACAGTGGAACTAACATGAATATCGAAGTATTGATGTGTATATTCTGTCATATTTAGTATATGAAATATTATTTAGAAAGGAAATGCTTTATATTGTATGACAAATGAAACTTCCAAAAGGCTTGCCAAATGATGTAGTTCTACGGACTTGGATGGCGCACGGAAAAGGCAACGAATCTGAATTGAATTCTGGCAGTTTTGTATCGCCAATTTTGAAAGATGGTGCAAATGGCGTTCATCCACATGTAGTTACGTTAAGTTTAAGGCCGTTCAGAACCACGAATTTGTCTGTGGATACCTTTATGGCCTCGCATAGTCCGAGGAGAAATAACAATAGCAAGCAAAAGTTCATGCTTAGTAAGTTTGATAGCGTTTTAGTTGAGTTTGTATTTTGAGCAAAGGTTTTGTAGTGTCAGCCAATTAGAATTCACCAAGTTAATTATCAATGGCTACAAAATTAGTGAGCTAGACACTTAGATATTTATAAAAAGGAGCAACAGTCTGGGACCATTTAACAAACACAACACCAGTAAATTTATAATGTTGTAGAGTACTGCTTCGTCCTTTAATAAGTCATTTCTGCTTTATTTACCCAATTGACGAATTGGACTCTCCCGGGACAAAATTTATTCAGGGCCAGATCATGACTTTATTAAAAGCAATTACTTGAGTGGCAGTAGTTTCTCCTTGACGAGTAAGGTCGTCTGATGTTAGAGTAAAATAAAGTAGGGTGCATAATTGTCACTTTAATATGAGGGTTAATATTAAAGATTTATCTTCTAATGCATGCCATTATGCTTTCAGAACCCCTATCTCTAGACCAAAGGAATTGTTCCTCCAATATACATACAACATTTGGCAAAGAAGCACTAGATTTAAGGTTTGTAATGAATCTAAAATTTATTAAATTTGTTCTTGTTTTAGCACAGCCTTTATGGCAACTAAAATGCAATTGTCACAACAATTATATTGACTCATCATCCTCACTACCTATCCTCACAACACAAGTTTAATATATCATTGATATTAATATCTATTTTCAGTGTTGCGTCGCCATCGAGAAATCACGAGAAAATACCACATGGGAGGTCAGACATTAGAGCAGATAGACCATGTTCAAACTATGGCAGTCGGAGCAGAGTTGGTAAACCGTCGGCAAGCATTGCAAATTGCAGTGACTTTGATTCTAGTTTTTCATCTAAACAATACACAGTACCAGACAGTTTATATACGATACGGAATAACTCCTTTCGACCTCCTCCGAGAATATCTCATTTGACAGGACAGAAGATTACTTTTGGTAGTCCGTTTGCCACTGGGTTTAATTATCATACAGGGTATATAAATTTATTGCAAACGCAGACAGATCTGGTTGCTACAGGAACTCCGGTTTCTACAATTGGACCTAAACAAACACAAGCTACTAAACCTATACAAAGGTGAGCTGGATTGGGTTTTTATCAGCTTTATTGTAACAGTGAAGAGATGAAATATAAGTCGAAGTCCTAAAAAGAAAAGCCTATTTCAGTACCATACACAATACCACATATGAAATGTAAACTTAAAACGATAACCAATTGAGCACCAGCACTCTCCCTTTGTTGAGTAAAATCATCCGGCATTGGCCAGGGTAAAATAATAAATAGGGTGCAATTTTGCGGTGACGTCACACCTAGGTCCCAGTCTCGTACTACATCCACGTTTTTTCTCGCGCTTGCTTCAGAACAACTGGGACTAGCCTGGGGTGCAATGTGATTCATTGGGTTAATTGCCACGTGACAAGCATATATCTGTTACAGTACACAATTTTGATAATTATATCACAGATTTCTCCTTGGCCTGGGAGGCTCATGAGCCAGTACCTTACATTTTGATTCATGAGAGCAAGGCTCTTAGGCAAAGAAACGATTCATGATGCAATTATCAAAAAGATGTATTCCCAAAAGTATACATCAAATTTACATTTGGTATGTTGGCATGTACTGTATGTCAAAACAATGAGTGACTGAATAGCGTAGACAAAAGTGGGACTTCCAAAACAATGAAAAGACAAAACATTCAATTTAGTGGAGTGTTGATTTGTTTTGCTCTTAAATGTTTTGTAGATGGCAGACAGTAAGAAGTGCATTGAATGAAAAAGGTAATGCCAATGTGAAAATTTTTTGATATCCATGACACACCATCTACCCGTACTTGATTACCTATGCATTTGCCTAGACATATTTTGTTGTGTTTTAATTTCTCAATTTCCCATTGCTCAGATTGTAAATACCCAGACCCAATGGTTGGATGCAGTCCTGGTTTTCAAGCAAGAATGTCTGAGATCATACAACATGAACTTGACACAGTAAAATGGGAGAAAGGGAAAAAAGGAAAGAAAAAAAGTTCGTCAGGTTGACAAAAATGGATAGAGCACTAGGACATGCTAAAACATCCCAAAATTGTATTTATTTTTGTAAAGAATTTTTATTGACAGAATTTTAAAAATACAATTAATACAAATATTGAAATTGTATAAAACATGACTTTTAATGAATGGAATTTTGATAAAACATAAAATATCCCCTCTTTGGTTAATGGTCATTCCAAAAAACATCCATACCATCATCACAGAGGAAATAGGAAGTTAACCCCCCTACCCCCTTCGGATATCCTAATACATTTACTATTATCAGAAACAATTTTCCCCCCCTCCGGATGGCAGAAATTTCCTCCGTGGAGGGGAGTATGGATATTTTCTGGAACGACCCAATGATATTATTCTACTGTGTTTGTGAACAGCTGGAACACCACTACACATGTGAAATCAACAAATTGTTGCAAATTATCATAAATTATTGTGAAAAGCCGCATTGAAAACCTAACAGCAAACCACATCAGTCTAACATCCGGATTATTTAGTAAATATTTTATAATAGTTATAGAAAAATCTACAAAATTTGGATTACTTAAACGTAATTGATGCATTCTAAATTTTAAAATATTTACAGTGGTACTGGTACCCCACATTTGTGAAACTTGAATATTGGGATATTTAGGTGTCCTTTAAGAGTTCCTTTTTTCTTGGTATTCATCAAAAGGCAAAACAGTTTGTTGAGTAATACAATCTAGAAAAAGAAATATGGTTTTGTGTGGAAAACTATAATATACAAACATTTCTATGTTTTTATTAATTAACATAGAAATCTCCCTCCATTCTAAATGTAAAAAATTCTCATTTGTATGAAAAATTGCCACAAATTCCTACCTAGTAACCATGTCTCAGAGACTTGAACACCGTCTGTTTTGGCTGTGATTTTACCAATACACACAGACGCTCTTCTTGCTGTGCCAGATACCTAGGAATGGAACAAAAATGAATGAACAATGGAATATCCCGAACTGGATCGTAAGTAAATGGCACTATTGTTGTGCAAAAGGGGACATGGAAGAGCTATACTTACTGCACCACCAGATAACTTGATGAGCTTAGCAATGTCTTGTGGTGGTGGACTTGTACAGGGTGAAACAAAGATTGGACCAATGTCAGCCAAGAGTTTGCACTGGTACTGACAGTAGGATGGTGAGGCACTTCTTTCTTCTCGCAGTTGCTAAAAAATTAAAAGTACAAGTTTGCGAACAGAAAAATCTAGTTCAAAATGCATTTCATGATACTCAAAACAGTGGGAATTCAGAATACAACTTGTGACATCATCACTCTTGTAGTCAAATCCAAAGTATTCCTGCACTTACTTTTGCCACAGGAAAATCTTCCACCAACTCAAAAGGCTCTTCTTTTAACCAAAATCCTTTCTCTAACGACTTCAAAACCCACTCTACTGACAAAAGCCAACAACCAGATAAGATCGCTTTCAAAACATTCACTGTTCTACGTTTGCCAGCAGAAACGACATGGGTGGTATCATGATCAACTTCTTTCCGAATTTCGTATCCACCTAATTGATCCACCACAGCTACAACTGTCTCTCGCATGCTGAAAAGAAATGCCTGTTTATAGGTTTTTGAACACTTAAAATCGTCATCCTTTTCGTAAGTATTCGAAGGATAACATATGTCTCCTTCAAGATTGAATGCTCTTGAGGCTTGAAAATATTAGGCCTGGTATTATATGAAAATTGGACGGGAATACAATAGGGCCACATTTGTTACCTCTTTTCAAGGCTAGTCATTACCAAGAATTTGGAAGCCTAGAATATAAAAGCAATTTGAATGTAGTTTGACTGAACCAGAAGCAAACTGTTGTGAAGGGATAATACTGTAATCTGTGGTGTTTTGTTATGGTCAAACTTGGAAGCAGAACTATAATTTCTCATTCAACATTCATCCGAAGGGAAATTGTAATTAGAATTGTGTTGGGATTGAACCCTGGTTGTACTGGTGACTGACTAAATTAATTGATCGTGGTATGATGTGGTCATTACTAGTGACCGGTAGTATATACCACCTGTTTGAAGTAGCCGATAGCATAAAATATGATGAACATTCCATTTACCCGTTTTCTCTTTTTGTTACTTTTTTTTCTGTCTTCCACTTCATCATCTGAATAAAAAATTATATAACCATACCAACAAATGCTTTATGTAATCGTTGAAAGATATTTGTAAGTTCCATCAGCCATGATCGCTGGCAGAACTAATTATACCTCACCTGCCATGTCATGTAATATCTGTTTTAGTTGTCGTCTTTTCATTTTGGTTTTAAACCTTTTCATATGCGGTAAATCAGCCATAGCTTTCTGTCTTTTGTCTGATTCGCGTTCTATATTGTAGAGAGTAGTTTTGTCAGTAACTTTAGTAGCCATTTTGCAGAGGTGGTAGTATAGCTAGAGTGAATTGTCCACTTAAATGCGTAATGGAAACACAAATTATCAAATCTTCACCCATTTCATCCATTCTCAGTCGAAGTGATTGAACCAACGACAGTGGCTCTTCATCTCCACTTTTCTCGTCATTCGACATCATGTTTTCTACAAAACTGTTGCTGAATTCAGACAACAATGGTGACGCCTAAAAAAAGCTTATTTATAGAAGATGTCTACATGGTACTTAACATACCTGAGCTACAGGGACCATAAATAAGGTGACAGCCAGTAGGACAGAGCAAGTGAAGCTTGCTTTCAAGGTGTCACAAGATGGAAATATATTTTATATAGTATTGTGCTCAGCCCAGGCACAGAATAAAGACACACAGAAGGTCGACTTTGCCATTAAAGCATAACTGCTGGCATGCCATGATTAGTTTTCAAAATGCTGCTGCAATCCCCCTAGCCAGTGCGCTTATGAAGAGGCATTCAGCCCTTGGACGTCTGCCATTTTGAATATTATCAGGGGGCCGGTGAATTTATACGGTTACACCAAAATCATAGGAAAAACCAAGAAGTCAATCTTCTGTTTGTCTCTGTTCTGTGGCCCAGGTTCTTTGCATTCAAGATGAGCTCTTCTGAAAAGGACATTTGTCTCAGTGGACAAACTAGCCTAGTCTAGATATCTGAGATTCTATAAATCAGGACAGATTAAGCATACCTAAAACTGATTTATATGGTCAAAATATTTTGGTATGTCTGCTGTTTATACTGTCAGTGTTGTATATTACATAGTTCTATACAAAATTGACTGAATTTGTAAGAATTATTCTACGTCGAAATTCATTACAAAATATAGAGAATATTTGAACATCAATTGAACAGAAATGTGAACATATTTGGTTTCGGCATTGTGTACACTTACCAAAATACTACTGTCCCTTTTGAAGGAACTAGAAAGCCGTCGTTTCTTTGCACTCATTATAGATGTCATAAATTCTGTGTATAATACATTAAAATACTTGAAAACACGGGAAACAGTGTATCAAGAATTTTTACAAACAAAATTTTTATGTTTGACTGTTTTCAAATCGCCCGCCTAAACTTGCCCAAATTTGCCCGGCCGCGTCAACGAGCAATGGTTGTCAGCAGTCGTCGAACATCCATCCATTACTTCATGTTGTTAGGGCTTGAACCGTCGTTTGCATTTGTAGGTGAACAGCTGAAGATCATTCTTCACATTAGCCGCCTTTGAATGGCCTTTCATGTTTGTGAACAGCATTTGACAACCATTTGACAGGTCTAGACTTTTGTTTGACTACCTCACAGCTGTTCACTGGGGTTGAAGTTTATAAACTTGGTATCCAGTGTTCTCCCTAACCCCGGCAACAAAATTAAATATGCCGGCAAGTTATTCAAACCGGCTGGACTTGCTTGGTAAAATAGAACTAAACATCTGAGATATTAAGTCATGAACATTCAATACTTCAGACGAGATCTTGAGTATTTTTATTTCTGCATATTTTTATTTGCTATTTTACATTTTACAAAGTAAATGAAAGTTGAGTTAAATTTAGCTTCTATACTTGTACAGGAGACGTCCAACTTGCAGTAAACTAAACGAAAGATAAAAAATATAACAAGTTTATTCAGAAATTATTAATGCAAAGTTTTATATTTGCTTTCGCTACATAATCTTTACCTGAGTATAAATACAAGACCAGCTGGCATCAACTTAAATCTGCCCGACTTGAATGACCGTATCCCCATAACCACTGCAAGAATGCCTGCCGCGCCTGTTCAAATTAAAGTAACACATAATGGTTATATAAAATTATGGTTGGCGGGTATATCAAATTCGGCACACTCCTTGCCAGCTTTGAGTTAACCGCACAGACAAAAAACAATAGAAATTGACTGGGACTGACATCCAATAGCTATATAGCTCTTCAATTTCGGCCATCTTCGCTTCACTTTTTGGACTCAAGTTCTCACTCCAGTTATAAATAGAGCTCAGTGGCCTTACTGGCCTGGTAGGGGAGAATAGAATGTTCATTAAATTGACTCACCCAAGGATACCATAACATTTCTTGGATTTGTCGAAGTCTGCATTGCACCATAGCCAGCAAAACCACCAAATAACAGACCCATTGCTAAGGACATTACGCTACCTGTGTGATAGAGAAGAAAATATGAGAACTGTGAAGAACAAAGGTCAAAGCAAAGGTCAGCTTCATCGGGAAATTAGTAGCCCACTCTAACTTCCCGACGAAGGGCCTTAATGTGCTCAAAACATTGAAGTTCTCCCTGTATTTTTTCAGGTAGTTGTATCCCTATCAATCCGAAGCTTTTTAATTTTAAAATAGCTGTACCAGTCACCAGCATACCGTACCCACAACCTTCAACAGCTCAGGCATTTAACTTGGCATTGTGACCGCATAAGACACCGGCACAAAATGCCTCTAAAATGAAGAGAGGTGGAATTGCCTAACTTCTTAATCATAGTACCCTGAGTGCGTGAGTGGTAAAAGGGTATAAAAAAGACCCTTTGTACCCTGTTTACAGTACTGTTATACAAATACAATGTACCTGCTTTGAGGTAGCCAAACACCCCACCAAATGCAACAACAGCAGCATAACTGTAGGAAATATAATCCGTGGTTGCTCGCATAGACATTTTGTGCAGTAAATCCAGCAAATTTGCTTTAAAAAACTGAAATTATATAACCATTCTATGAATTCAGTCAAATTTAAGGAGTTGCGGGCATTGCGGGTCCTATTCAAGAAAGGTTTCCGGCAATTCCGGGGGGGGG